AATATACTTACAACCAAAGGCCCAATTTTATCCTTCCATCTGTATGTTTTTCTCCTTAGTCTTATACTTATATAAATTTAGCATTATTTGTGTGTACTTCATATAAACTTAACCTAAGCCCTTCATCAGGGAAGAATAATAATTAAAACTAGTTGATAACCCAGTACTTCAAACGCTTTATTATCATGGAAATCAGCAAAAGGACATTAACCCAGAGAAGCCAGCAGCCAGCATCCCTTCTCTATCACAGATCTTAAGGGTAAAGCAGTGGCCTTCTCTAAGGTCTCTAAGTGACCGTCTCTAAGACAGCAATTTCAAAGCAGGAAAAATGCCAATGCCACTTGGTAAGGAGAAATGGCAGAGAAAGACTAGGAGAGGCTCCAGATCAGCTCAGATATAGGTCACATACAGACAAGAATGGAAAAATATGCTAGAGGCTTGTCTTAAACTCCAAAATCTTGGTTGGAAAACACCAAAAAGAAATAAAAGACATCTGGAAATTACTCAGCAACAAGAACTTATACCATGTTCCCTTGTCAGAGACTTGACTCAAAGACATTTCTAAACCAGAAAGAGGGAAAACAAGAGCCATAAAAATACCATATGGAGCTTCCAATCTTTGGTGCTCAGGGCATAATAAAAACCCTTAGAGCTGTAAAAGGCAAGTTCTCAAGAGGCAATAAACATAGAAAAAGTAAAGGCAACTGCCTGCTAAGGTTAGAGAGGTGAGTTTCATGCTCAAACACTTTCATTTTCCCATCCAAACTACTTACAGGAATAACCGCGTAGACTGTATCTTTTGCTGCAAAATACTGCTGCCAAATCTGTATAAAAAAGAGGGTGTCTGTGACATGTGGGTAATCTTTTCAACCTGTGCTAAGAAATAGTGACAAGCTCTCATTGTTCAGAGTAATGTGTTATTTGATAACAAGGAAGAAAGACCCAGTGTAATACTTTTATTACCAGTACATGATTACAAAAAAGATTTTATATAATCCACTCTTCTAGATTATTAAATGATAACTCTCAACAACAAATTCCTGTCAGAGAAAGTGATTCTATGACTCTTTAAATCACTGCTCTCAAGATGTACCTTGTGTGTGATAAACAACTACTTTATTTCCATTTCTTTCTTTCCTCCCTAAACTCGCATGTCCCCAGCCAACTATGGGCCTGCTCAGCCAGCCAGGATATTAGTCACAAAGAATGTAGGGTTTGGGGTTAGGCAGACCTAGATGTGAATCTCAGATCCAATCATTTACTCACTATGCTACCGTGGGCAAATTACTAAAAACTACCTAAAAAACACCAATAAATAGCAATACAGGATCATTGTAAAGACTAGCTGAAGTAATGTACATTTGTGCTTAACACAGTGACTGGCACAGAGATAATATAACTTTTATTAAGTATCATTGCTCTGTTATAGGTAGCTCTTAAAAATCTTGCTTCTGGCTTGGTGCCTGTGGCTCAAGCAGCTAAGGCGCCAGTCACATACACCTAAGGTGGCGGGTTCGAATCCAGCCCAGGCCCACCAAACAATGATGGCTGCAACCAAAAAATAGCTGGGCGTTGTGGCGGGCACCTGTGGTCCCAGCTACTTGGGAGGCTGAGGCAGGAGACTCGCTTGAGCCCAGAAGTTGGAGGTTGCTGTGAGCTGTGATGCTATAGCAGTCTACCCAGGGGGACAGCTTGAGGCTCTGTCTCAAAAAAAAACAAAAAACAAAAAAAAAACTTGCTTCTAAGTAAGTAAAGCAAGTGGACAGCCCTCAGAATGGGAGAGGATATTTGTGGGTTATACTTCTGACAAAGCTTTGATAACCAGAATCCACAGAGAACTCAAACTATTAATAAGAAAAGAACAAGTAATCCCATTTTGTTGTGGGCAAGGGACTTGAACAGAAGCTTCTCTGAAGAAGATAGGCACATGGCCTACTGACACATGAAAAAACGCTTATCATCTTTAATCATCAGAGAAATGCAAATCAAAACCACTTTGAGATATCATCTAACTCCCGTAAGAGTGGCTCACATAACAAAATCTCATAACTACAGATGTTGGCATGGATGTGGAGAAAAGGGAACACTTCTGCACTGCTGGTGGGAGTGTAAGCTAATACATCCCTTTTGGAAAGAAATATGGAGAATACTCAGGGATCTAAATGTAGACCTGCCATTTGATTCTGCAATTCCTCTCCTAGGTGTATATCCAAAAGACCAAAAATCACTTTCTAACAAAGATATTTGCACCAGATTGTTCATTGCAGCTCACTTCATAATAGCCAAGTCATGGAAGAAGCCCAAGTGCCCATTGACCCATGGATGGATTAATAAATTGCGGTATATGCATATCATGGAATATTATGCAGCCTTAAAAAAGATGGAGACTTTACCTCTTTTATGTTTACATGGCTGGAGCTGGAACATATCCTTCTTAGTAAAGTATCTCAAGAATGGAAGAAAAAATACCCCATGTACTCAATACTATTATGAAACCAATTTACAATCTCTCACCCTCATATGAAGAACAGATCACAACTATGGCCCAAGATGAAGTACGGAGGAGAGGGGTATGGGAGGGGAGGGGGGAGGTTCAATCAAGGAAGGGTGAATGGTGGGATCACACCTATGGCGCATAATGCAAGGGTATAAGTCAGATCTATTGGTGTAGAGCATAAATGTCTTAACACAATAACTAAGTAAATGAGATGAGGTATGTATTAACCAGTGTGATGTAAGCATTCCTAATTCCATATGTAATCAGCATATTATACCCCATAAATGCATTAATGTATACATGATCTATGTGTTTATGATTTAATAACAAAAAAAACTTGCTTCTAGAAAGTCTTCCATCTGTGGAAGAGATGGAGTCTGCTGGATCTAACTATGGCACAGAAGTTCTACTTCTGCTTGGCACCTAAGAACAAGGCAGGTACAGTTGACTTGCATGATGCAAAACACCGAAAAATTAAGAATAAAAATTTATAAAGTAGAACATCTGTAAGTTGTCCAAAGGACTGCAACAAACTGGTCAACATAGGGAACTAGACCTACTGTACTGATATGTAGAAATGGTGTGTGTGTGGTCTATGAAAATCTGGTCAATTGAAGGAGGTGGTCAATGTGGGGAGGTGGTTGATGATGAAACTTCTACTATATAATCAGAAAATAGGGAAAAGGGGAAAAAAAAACCACCCATAGTCCCACTACCCACTACAAAAGTCACTGCTGTTTTGATATATTTGTTTTCAGTATATCTTAGTATTTTTTCTTTTTAGTATACATAATGTATATCCAATCCTGTGTCCTGCTTTTTTATCACTTAGCATTATACCATATGAATGCTCTGTGCTCAGTATTTTTACTACTATTTATATTGCCCTCCATGTCTTTTCATGTTATTGGCTCTAAATGAAAAGCCTTCCTCTCTGTATCCCTGACCCCTCAAATTCTTCCTGTCCTCTAAAGCTGAGTTTATATGCCTCTTCTTCCAGGTAGTCTCCCTTGATTATTTCAGTCAAAAGTTGCTATGAACTGCTTTTGTACTTTCTACCTCTATAAAGAAGCCTAGGATATGCTAGTTCATTACAAGGTCACCGGCACATGCATCTAGCTCCCTCACTAGTTTGCAAAGCTCCTATAGGCAGGACGTCGGCATTGCAATGTAAAAAATATTCAGAAATGCTGCCTGTTAGACGACTATGACATAGCATAGTAAGAAATATGTATTTGGTTTCTGCCCTGGTTCCTGCCACAGAGCTTCTAAAAGAGGCATGTAACTCAGGTTAGGGAAGAGTGTCACAAGAAGGGACATTTTGATCTGTATCATTAACAATGATCAGGAGTCAGCCCCAAGCAGGCTGGGAAGGTGAACAGATAGGGCAGAAGGAGATAGGAGACATGTTCTAAGCAGGAAATGACAATACTAGCAAAGGCACAGAAGTAGGGGAAGGCATCATAACCAAGGTGACACCTGAGTGAACTGGTGTTGAAAAATGGGTCACCCTCCTTTAGAGTTGCTCTGCTCTGATAACATTCCTGTTAAAATGTGGCGCTCTAACTGCAGATACTGATCAAAGCATGATCTACCTCACCAACACAGAACACAAAAGGATGATTACCTCCTACGACCCATGGAAACCACACTATTAATGCAGCCTAAGGTTGCTTTGCTTTGTTTGTTTGTTTTTTGCATGTTAAAACATGCCTTCTCAATTTAAGGAAAGCATATGCTGATTATTTTGATTTAATTTATTATGAACCAACACTGGAATTTATGAGACTGATAAATAATTCATAATATAGCTGAACTTAGTTACTAAAATCTTTTTTAATCAATACAAATTTGTATCTAAAACTATAGGTCTAAATCATACTTGTCATATGATCAGGTCTCCTGGGCTTGGCTTCTCTCTCCCCTAAATGATTTGTTTAGTATCCATGATCCACTGGTATTTATTCCCAAAGGCACAGCCTGAGACTTTACATAAGCCTCTATTAACAGAAGTTAGAACTTTGTACTGATCTAATTTGTTTTTGTGTCTGTCCCTCCACTAGGCTTAAACTCCTTGAAGGTAGGGGATTCTCTGATTTATCTCTATCTCTGACACAGAGATAGACTGATACTAAATAGGTATTAAATAAATGTTAAGCCTATAGTCTTAGCTACTCAGGAGGCTGATGCAAGAGAATCATTTGAGTCCAAGAGTCTGAGGTTGCTGTGAGCTATGATGCCCTGGCACTCTACCAGGAGCAACAACGTGAGATTCTGTCTCAAAATAAATAAACAAATAAATAAATGAATGGCACTGCATTCATGAGGAAACCCATGACAATGAGCACAATTTTCTCTAAGAGAATATGATACAGAGTCAAACAGACATGAGTTTCAGTCCCAGCTCTATCATTGACCAAGTCACAAAATCTCTTTAAGTCACAGTTTCCTCAGTTGCAAACTGGGAATAATAGCACCTACTTCATAGGGTCGTTAAGAGAATTTAATGGAATAGTGCATATGAAACACTAGGCATAGTACCTGACATATCGTATACTGCTTTTATTATTATTTTGATTCTCTCAATTTACCTAACATGTAATTCACAGAATGCAAAAAGAAACAGCTTATTACAGTTTAATTACAAAGAACAGTATCATAGACATGAGAATGTCTATGGAGAATCTAAGTAGGAATGCAAATCAAATCGAAGTACATGCGATAGATCCTAAGTGCACTGAAAGGTTTCCAGGAAGCTTCCTGCAGAAGGTCCTGTAATCACTGAGAACTATGAATGCGGGAAAAGGAATATGGGAAGTCACGGAACATTTGTGAGCAGATTCCTAACACAGGCTTTATTTTCTTTATTTAAAAACATAAATATAGCATTTACTCTCTGCCAGGCACTCTTCTAAGTGCTTTATAAATGGTAACTCATTTAATTCCTCAAATAACTCTATGAAGTAATTATTACTATCTCTACTTTACCGTAGGAAAACTAAGGCCCAGAGAAGTCAACTGACTTGCCCAAGTCACACAGCTAATATGTGGCCATTCCTGAACTTAAAACTGGCAGCTTGGTTCTACAGTCTGTAGTCTTATCTAATATACTATGCTCCTCCATAATGAAAGAAGAACTTTAAGAGGACTCAGCTGGTAAGGATACTATAGGTGGAATGGGAAAAACAAGAACAGGGGAATCTATGTGAAAAGGCAGTACAGCAATCCAAGCATAGAGTACCGATGATTTTAAATAAAATGTGGGGCCGGGCACAGTGGCTCACGCCTGTAATCCTAGCACTCTGGGAGGGAAGGCAGGTGGATTGCTGGAGCTCGGGAGTTTGGGACCAGCCTGAGTAAGAGAGAGATCCTGTCTCTAAAAACAGCCAGGCATTGTGGTGGGCACCTGTAATCCCAGCTCCTTGGGAAGCTGAGGCAAAACAATCACTTCAGCCCAAGAGTTTGAGGTTGCTGTGAGCTATGATGCCACAGCACTCTACCTAGGGCAACAGAGAGACCCTGTCTCTAAAATAAATAAATAAATAAATAAATAAATAATGTGGGCAATAGGAATGAAAAAGAAAGAGGAAATATGAGTTGATTAGACACATAAAAGTAAGACCAAGAAAGACAAGTTTTGTTATGCTACTATTCTTCCTGTAATTCATCATTTTTGCCTTTTATTACTGCCTTTCATTATGGCTACAAAGAGATGTCAGAAAATGCATGCTCTTTTCTACTCTCAGATTTGGTTCACAGAACACACATTTTCATAGTGTGCCAACCCGTTTCCATTCATTACCTGTTTTATTTCCTCTGCGGTTTTCTCTTTTACCATCTCAATGTTAAAGATTGAACTGAGAGTCTTGAAAAAGAAAATAAAAGCAATTAATGCCAACAATTAAAAATAAAACAGAACCGCTTAACTTTATCTCTAAGCTTATGAGAGACATGTGAGGACAGTGAAGCAAATCTGTCATAAGTAAAGAACAAGTATAAGAAAACCTGTGTGCTCAGATAAAGTGAACCTCAAGCCCAGAAAGGTTTTCATGGTTGTATCCTTGGGGAGTATCTATTAGGTCACTGTGTACTTCCCAAATGCTTCACCCTCACCAGTAAGTCCTGCAGCACTATCAGCTGGTAAGAGGAGAAAACTTGGTTATTTTTATTTAACTGCTAGTTTACCAGGAGTAATTCCTTATTTGTAAATTAAGTGACTAAACATGTTTTTGATTTTTAAAAACTACTCCCTGTAGCCGGGTGTTGTGCCAGGTACCTGTAGTCCCAGCTACTTGGGAGGCTGAGGTAAGAGAATCACTTGAGCCCAAGTGTGTGAGGTTGCCGTGAGCTATGATGTTACAGGACTCAACAGAGGGCAACAAAGTGAGACTCTGTCTCAAAAAGCAAAACAAAATACTATTCCCTATAGAAATGAAGGGCGTTGCTACATTTTCTTCAGATGTCCTCTAGCATTCCCAGGACCCACACATAGGCAAGGAGTCATGTCAAGGACACAGAAGTTCATAGAAATATTTCTCACCTCTATATTTGGAATATCATCCTATACAAAAATCACTGAATCACAATTCATATGTTCAAATTTGCAGCCTCTTATTACAGATGTACCATAGAGCTTCAGACCTGGGTCTCTCTATCTAATTAGAAACCTACCTTGTCCTTAGTGAATCCTCTGCTGATAGGCTGTTTCCCCATGGCACCTGCCTGAAATACACAATAAGACAGGGTATTAATCTATACATTAATGATAAGGAACAGATCACCAACCTAGGAGAGATATCTAATCTCCTTAAGTAATTTTGTACCTCAGAACTCTTTTTTCTCTACTCTTTATAATTGTACACCTTGTTCTAAAATTATTATCTGTGAGACTTTTCTCTAAGATTCTGAGATGCACAGATGATTTATCAGTAACCACCATCTTGTAGTACTGAGAGTCTATTATATACCTGCCATTATGGATATGAGGAACTTCTTCCAGAATTAGGCCTGTTTGGATTTACTGTGCTTTACCCTCTGACCTATTCCACACTGAGCGACAGTGGAGGTGAGAAGTGGAAAGATGTGTTATCAAAGCTCTCTTATTTCTGACAGCTATTTGATGGCAGTCATCCTTAGCAGATTAGAGTCTTTCTTAGTACTCAGGCTTTGTATTTCCTTCATCAAATTAGATTCCCCCTCAAAAATGACCAAAAACATCTGGAAGTGATTATTTTTCTTCTGGCCCATTATCTCTGATAAAGGCTACAACCAGTTAGCATGTGCCGCTTGTACATGTTTATTTCACAAAGAAGTGAAGAGAATCTAACAACAACATTCAGTCTCACAGTATGGATGTGACCCAAAATTTATGTACTAAAATATGTAATATATTAAAAAATACTTTCACTTATACTATGGTTAGGCCATCATATTGATCTCCCTTCCCAAACTATGAATATAGATAGGTTTTATTGTCTGCATTCTTGTTGTGCTTCATTTTAGGGTAGAAAGGGAGAATTAAAAAATTTTATTATAAAAGGGGTGTTGTGTCCTGTGTGACAGGGAACAAGTGATTCAAAGACAAAAATAAAGACACTGGGAGCTGTGCATAGTGGCTCACACCTATAATCCCAGCACTTTGGGAGGCTGAGCTGGGAGGATCCCTTGATTCAAAACCAGCTTGGCAATATGGAGAGATCCCCATTTCTACAAAAAATTTAAAAATTAGCTGGGTGTGGTACTAGCTATTTGAGAGGCTGAGGCAGGAGGATTGCTCAGTAGTTTGCTATGATCAGGCCACTGCACTCTAGACTAGGCTAGAGAATCTGTCTCAAAAAAAAATAAAAGCCTTTGGAAATGGAGAGTAGAGTTAGCCATTAGCCTTCCTCTCTTAGCTAGCTAGATAAGGAAGATAGTAAGTGAACATTTACCTAAGAGTTGCCATAATTTAAACTGTATCTTTACTTATTTTTTATTTTATCATCATAAAGTTGAATTTCTAAGTCTGTTCATTAAAAAGGGACAGCTTTTCCATGTAATATTAAGAGTTTATAATACAGTAGTATTTCCAAGAGCCACTGACTTATAATCTTGCTACTACAAATGTTTGTCACAGGAAATGACAATTGTTAAAATATTTGTAGCAGAGAGCTGTTTGCTCACATACAGTCATAAACTGTGTTTGCCACCGGAGGTTGAATTTGTTCTCCAACATTGTGATGATTAACCCACTGACTATTAACCTTGCTCTAATTAACTTAACTAGTTATTAAGACTGAGAAGCTTCTCTTAAAATTTAGGACACCCAAGGTAAAAAAAAGTCCTTCCTAAGAAGAACAAATTATCTCTAATTTGACTTTAAAATGCAGAATCCCAATTTTCCACTGTAACTACCTTGTTTCAGGTTCCCAGCAGCCCATACCTGGATTACTGTATATTCTCCCTGTTCTGGCCTCTCCCACTCCAGTTTGTTCTGTGTTTCACCCTAGATTAGTATTTTTCAAATAACAGGTTGTGAAATTAGTGGATTGTGATTGGAGTTTTTTGAAAGATGAAAAAGTAAAATACAAATGCACCATATGTTGTAAAAGTAAGCATTGTTTTATAAAAATGCTTTATTGATAATCATATATATACATGTGTACTGATTTGCAATGTAAAATTTTTTCTTACTGTGGGTCATGGTCAAAAAGTTTGAAAGGCACTGCATTAATCTTCCTATACACAGTATGGATATGTCCCCAAATTTACATACTAAAGCATGTATTTCATTAAAAAATATGCTTTTGCCCAGTTTTAATTCCTATTTAAGGGTAACAATGGCCAATATATATTGAGTACATATTACGGGTTAAGGGTTTTACATGATATTACCTCATTCAATCTTCAGCACAACTCTATGAGGTAGCTACTGTTAACACTCCTATTTTACAGATAAGCAAACTGAGACATGGAGAAGTTACATAATTTATTCAGAGTCACCCAGCCAGTAAGTGGAAGAGTTAGGTCCTTGGTACCTGGCTTCAGAGACCATTTCTTAGCAGCTAAGTTATCATACCTCTGCTCCCAAATCCTTCAGGTTGGAGTTTAATGACTAACCTACGTATAGTCTTAACATTTCTCTCTCCATTTTAATTGGACAGGGTACCTCACTGTTCTCTGAAACCACTTTTACTTCCAAAGCTCAACATGGGAGTGGGTAGCTGGTTGTCAGCAAACTATATCCAACTTACCAACTGTTTTTGTAAATAAAATTTTATTGCAACACAACAACACATTTATTTGCTTATTGGGTATGCCAGCTTTTGCACCGTAATTTAGAGCTGCATAGTTGCAACAGGGAACACACGGCCCACAAAGTCTAAAATAATTACTATTTGGCCCTTTATAGAAAAAGTTTCATAGGCCAGGCCCCATGGCTCACGCCTGTAATCCTAATACTCTGGGAGGCCAAGGAGGGTGGATTGCTTGGGCTCACGAGTTCAAGACCAGCCTGAGCAAGAGTGAGACCATGTCTCTAAAAAAATAGCTGGGCATTGTGGTGGGTGCCTGTAGTCCCAGTTACTTGGGAAGCTGAGATAAGAGGATTACTTGAGCCCAAGAGTTTGAGGATGCTGTGAGCTATGATGTCACAGCTCTCTAATGAGGGTGACAAAGTGAGACTCTATCTCAAGAAAAAAAAAAGGAAAAGTTTCATGACCCCTGCTCTATATCAAGTCCTACTCTCTTCTCTCTGCTTAATTTAGATACTTCACATCCTTCCCAGCCTAGGTCAGATTCTATTCCCCAGGGAACTTTTCCCTGATCCCTTCCACCCACTGCCTTGTGTGCCTTGCCTTGACCACTAGACTGCACCTCCTTGCAGTAGGGATTATCCTTCTCCTACTTCTCCATCTCAACCATGACCACAGTGCCTTGCCCAGAAAGAATAGGATACATATCTATGGAGGGAGACTGGGTAGATAGAGGCTGTTTGGTTTACCCAGCTGACCCATCAGTGAACCCACTTCAAGGACAAGGGTTAGGGGAAAGAGGCTGGGGGAGTGCTGCTAACCCAACAACTTAAAAAGGGGCAGGTCTCACCTTCTGCTCCATACATTTGATAAAATCACCTTGCCTCGAGTGCCCCACTGGCTGTTTCCGAAACTCACTGCGCTTTTCCAGGCGAGACTCAAAAGCAGCTGGGTCAGACCTGATCAAAGGTAAACCAAAAGGTAAACCACCTGGATGTTTTTGGATTTTGAAATAAAAAAATAACAAAGCATTATGATCTACCTCCACTGAGAAAGGACACTGGCCATTCAGAGAGGCTTAAGGATTTGCTTTCAGTTATTAAGGACTAGACATAGGTTCAAAAATCAAGAAGGTAGAAAAAGAAATCCAGTTTTATTTAACTATTGTTACTCCTCAAGGGGACTGTGTAATAGTTTTCTCCTGCAGGCTACTTCCTAGGGTGACATAGAGTTTGGTCTTTCAGATACTTACACTCTGGGTACTTAGAATCCTCAGGATGGGAACTTTGAGGTCATCTTTCTGGATTGCCTCAAGTAGGAATCCTATAGCATTCCCACTAGGTGTCAAACTTTTATTTGGACACATCTGGTTCTTGGACATCTCCCCCTTCCTCCCAGGTTAAATATCTGTTTTGTTCTGATCCTGGTGATTCAGAGGCTCAGGCAACCTATTCTACAGATTTAACATTTGAATGTCTCACTGACCTACACTCCAAAAACCTGCTCCAACAGATGAAACATCAGAACTCACCCTTCATATCAAAATGGGACTAGTCTTTACACTAGAAGTCCAGATTGGGGTGCTGTCCTTAAGAATTCTTCAGGCTGTGTAGTTTGGCTTTGTTTGCTTTTGTGAAGATACCACCTAGGGACTCCAGGTCCTTGGTTGTGAGTCTCATACTATTATGGATGACATCTGGCAGGGGTAAAGAAGCTGCAGCCTTAAGGCAAAATGTGGCCTTCTAGGTCCTTAAGTGTAGCCTTTTGACTGAATTGAAATTTTACACAAGAAACTCTTTTCTTAAAAGGGGTGCATCACAGAAAGATGAAGCTTTTCTTGCCATCTTTGGTAGTTAAAAAAAAAAAGCAAACGGCTCGGCGCCTGTGGCTCAAGCGGCTAAGGCGCCAGCCACATACACCTAAGGTGGCGGGTTCGAATCCCCAGCCCAGGCCGCCAAACAATGATGGCTGCAACCAAAAAATGGCCAGGCGTTGTGGCGGG